TTTTTTTTTTTTTTTTTTGGCTTTAATAATGAATTATTGGCCTCTATAAATTGGTGTAATAAATTTCAATGGAGAATGTCATTTTAAAATTTATACATAAAGGAATAACGTGCTATCTTTTGTGTGATAAAAAGCACACTATGATGCAATACTGGTATTTGCCAGTATGCATATAGAAATTACAGAAGGTTTCCTAAGACATAACAGTGGTTACCTGTTGGAGGAGGGAGAAGGGAGTCTTTTCACAGCATAACTTAAAGACACAAATTTTAAAAACAGAGAACATTCACAGATGTTTCAAAAGTCTTCCAAACTCTTTCATTATGGTGGAGGCAGAAGAGTCTAGATTTGAATTCTCCTGCTTACCTACCTACACACACACATACACACACACACACACACACACAAACCAAACTCACTGCTGTCGAGTTGAATCTGACTCATAGCGACCCCTCCTTGGGTTTCTGAGGTGTTACCTGTACAGAAGTAGATTGCCCTGTCTTCCTTCTGAGGGAGTGGCTGGTGGGTTTGAACCATCAGCTTTCTGGTTAGCAGTCAAATGCCTTAGGCACTATGCCACCATGTGATGCAATTGGAGACCTCCCCAATGATTTTCCAAGGTAATTCTCTCCCTTTGGAAAAGCCTAGGAGACCAAAGAATGAAACCCTGCAGCCTGAAACAGAGTTGATGGAGTGTTAAGGATGTCTCAGAAGTAGAGATGATTGATTTTTTTTTTTTTTTTTAGGGAAAAAAGTGAATTTGGATTTATTCCCATTATGTGGGCCAGATGATATAGTGTGTCCTTTAAATAGCAGTAGCATTAATTAAACACACCCTGAGCTTTCAAGATGACAAGCCTTGGGGATTCTGAATATCTGTGTTCCAGGGAGGCAGTTTGGAAACTTGACCAATTCTAATCCACATTTCATTAGCACAGCAGCCTGGCAAATTATCAGGGATACTGAATACTAATAGCCACTTGAGAATGGCTTTTGTTGTCATTCGGATATTCTCTTTTCTCTTCTGTCTTTGGTGTAGGAATACATGGCATTTCTAATGTTGGCACTTCTGTCTCTTTACTGGGAATCTGTTGAGAAAGCTGGGGTAGGGGGTGGTAAAGCATCTATTCATTCTCTTTTTCCCCAGATCTCCTGTTTCTCAATTTTCCTGACTTATTCCCAACACTGTGGCTCCTCCCTTCCCCCAGCATGACATTCGGTAGTATGTTTGGTGTAATGAACTGTGGCAAAGGCTATCGAGGTGAGTATTTGTTTCACCAGACCCAACCAATTGCTTTTTTTTCTCTCCAGTGGCAGTACTTCTTCCTCCATGATCCAGCCCGGGATGCATCCCTGTAGCCTCTTCTCAGCAGCCAATAAGCAAATAATGCTGATGTATTTGCATATCATCCAGCAGTATAATATTAAAAAATGAAATATTGGTAGACCATAATATTTTGAGACCCAAAGGAATGAAGCTCTAGCAATGGGATATCAGGCAATGGGGTGGTTTTATGGGGGCAAGAGGCACAGCCTGGTGCCCCCCACAAAAGGTCTGGCTCATAGATGGGCCTCAATAGATGTTTGCTCAATTAATTAATTCACACTGCCTGTGGAAAATCTCTGGGAGCTCTGGTGGTGTCTTGCCTAAGGCATTTGACTACTAACCAGAAGGTTGGTGGTTCAAACCCACCAGGCATTACTTAGAAGGAAGACTGGGCAATCTACTTCCATAGAAATACCACCTCTAGAGAGGCATCTCAGTATGAGGTAGTGGATCTCTTCTGTCTGTCCCCTATAAATCCACTCTCCATCCTTCTCCACCCTGCTCTCCGCCCAGAAGTCTGACCCAGAGTGGAGCCCTGGAGAGAGACTGGAGAAAGGAAAGGGAAGGAAGCTGGGGTCGCTTATGGCCAGCTGTATTAGTTACAGTTCCTCTCAAGGCAGCCCTCTTCTCAAGATTCTCTTTTTTGAGGTTCTGATAACTGTCCACCCCTTGTCTCTTCAGGTTTAGGGAC